TCTCCAGTTTTGACTGTTAATTCGTAATCCTTTTTATATACAACTTTAACATAATAATTTAACTAGTTGATTGATATAATTCCTGAAAATAATTTCCAAATTGATTAAATGTCTAGTATTGAATTGAATGATTAAAACACACGTTTATTACATCAGCACGAAATATTAGTCTGTTACACGTTTCTTTAGCTTCTATTTACTGTAATGACCTTTACAAAACTTACAAATTTTCTATTGCAATAATATTTCCTGTTTGACCCATAAAGGTTTATTCTTTTTAAGGAGAAAGGTTACCTGACTATTGTCTTTATTTTTATTATTATTATCACTATTCTAAGGGAATAATAGGTGAGGGGACAGGAGGAACCAAACAAAACTAAAGATGAAGTAAGCAACAAGGGAGTTAGTAGACATGAATAGAAAAGAACTAGACGAAATAACATTTAGACTAAAAGTTTCAACCAGCCAATCAGTTACACACACACTGATACACACATACATAGGTCTATGAGTAAGTAAATGAATTTAACTCTATAGTTATAGCCTCCAGGATGATTTGCTTTTTATTCCAAAGGTAGGAAATAATGCTGGTGTGCTACCATGTTATTATTATTAATACCGGTTTAACTTAGTAGCAATAATAGTATATAAGTTGAAGCAATAATATATTTGTTTTCAGTGTAAAAGGGAGTTAACTAGTGTGAGCAGTTAAAAATCTTAAACGGAAATTACAAGCATACCCACAAAATCTAACGTGGGTCTATAGTGTATGTATGTGTAGGTACATCAGTGATTTACATACATTCTATATACACATACATACTTGATATAATCATTATCGACAATGTGTATATATGTGATTCGGCCCCAATTTTCAAGCCAAACTTATTTCCGATTCAGACTAACGGAATTATTTGTGAAGAAAATATTTCTAAAAATGAACACATACACACACTTACTCACACAGACGAGCGTACCAACTTATATGAATTATAAATTAACTGTCATTTATGGAACCCGGAACTAATGCCAAATACAAGACGAAGAATTTAGACAGTGGGCGACGTCTACATAGAACAAAACGCTTAGATTCCATATTCTCGATAAGTTAGTCTTAGTATTGTTGTATGCGTGTTTTCTTCAAGAATTTAGGAAAATCTATTCTATGAATATCTTTAGAATTTATAAATGAACTGAGTGAAATATCATAGAATTCAAGTATTATACATGAATTAGAAATGAAAACCTTTATTCATTATTGATATAGAACATTATATATTGAAGAAATATTCATTATTTATTTCAATAAAACTTTTGAACATTGAATTTCTATCATATGAAACAATGAAGTAGCTAGTTAAATGTAACTTGTATGAACTTCGTGGAATATTATCATTGTGTTAAAGTGATCTAGAAAGCTCCTTGGAAAAAGAAAGCCAAGAAACTCTCTGAAAACTCCGAGAGACATCTTATCCAATCAACATTCAATAGGCAAGAAACATTTAAAAAAAGAAGAGTCACGTGCTGCGCTCCTGATGTCATGGTAACATATACTGTTACCATGTGTTTAGTAGCGTTCCAGAATTTTCCGAAAACCGAAGACTATCTAAAATGCTAGAAATACCTTAGATTTTTTGTACATGAACGAACCTTTGAAATACAGTGTTTCTTCCATATTCCACGACTTTTCTCTTGTGTTCAATTCGTTGTGTAGATAAAGCCTGGTTGTTACTAGAATAGGTTAGGAACTGAATCTAACATTCAAGTACAGAACTTATCACATTGATGAAAATAAAAATCAGACTAATAAATGAAAATTAATGGGAAGTATGTTGAAAGAGGATAAGATTTATGTACTATGTGATAGTCGATATTCAATATAATTTTTAAACTTCGTATACAGTTTGTCCCGATAACGGTCAAAAGATAACGCTCCAATGGTGTATTAATCAGAAGGTCAATATGAAGTGTTGATTATATTTACTATTGCACTACCCACAGATAATCAAAATCACAGGAATGTTAAACAAGCATGAAAGAGTAGTGCCGAAATGTAAGCGGGTGAGCGTACGAGTCGAATGAGCTTGTCGAGTCAATGAACAGGATTAAATGTATATATATAGTGAAATAAATGAATCATCGAATCAATTAAGCGACTAATAGTAAGGCTAGCAGAATGAATATATACATGGTCAATAAGCAATGTTCAAGCATACATATTCCTACAAATACAACAATAATAAAGGTAAAATGGTATAGATAAGTTGTGATTGTACAAATGATTCTGTTCGTTAAATAAATTAACAAAAGAACTTAACCAAATTCAATGTGAACAAAATTAATTGCACCATGAGCTACGATTACTAATTCACGTACGTTTAAATAACATAAATGATTGTATAACTGTGGTGTTTGAATGAACTAATGACACCTTTGTACTTGTTGAATGCTTGATTTCGAATTCTAAATACAATACATTTGTTTGTGGTCATCTAGTAGTACTTCTTGATTCGATTACGTTATTTCTAGGGTTCTTAATTCATACTATAATTCAAATACTCGTTATTACCACAATGAAATTGCCAGTGATTTTGGAATGATTATACAAAATTCATTGAATACAACATTTTCTGGAAAGTAATTGTAGTTAATACGAAGCATTTAATATAACTGAAGACAATACATAAGAGAATAATAATAATAATAAGAGATATAAAATGTTCTTTTGGAAACGGAATTTCTATCAGATTTATACTATTAGTGAATTTGTTCTTGATACATTTTAATATAAACCAAAAAAGTATATTGTTAAGATGGATTCCAAGAATTATGATGGAACCTTCAGAGAACCTAGAAGGAACTGAAGAGTTTCTATTCAATTAGAACGTAATAGAACTTTCTAGAATATGAACGCTGTATGATACTACCGGACAGTAGTATAACATGCCTGTTTGTAGATTGACTGAATTGTAATATTGATAAAACAAACGCTAATATCTATGATTTTCTGTACATTTTGATCCATACCTAACAACCACTTCTGAATTTGTGACTGTAGGGGTTCTATACATTTAAGTGTCGTAGTTGTATATTGTATTCTGATTTAATCATGTGTTGAGCTCGTATATCTAATTATATTATTCATTGTAACATTGTTTATTATAAGCAAAGATGGATAGTGGCTAGCAGTGGAATCCAGGACGCGCGTTCCGTCCTATTTGGGACTCGTCAGCTGGATGTACCTGCATCTCAGAGTTGATGTTCACTCTGGGACTCGAACTCAGTATCGTTCGCTTCAAACGCCATCGCGTTATCTACTTAGCTACTGAGTCCTGATAGCCACTTGCTTGTGCAATGGGGTGAAGTTTAATTCACTTGGTATTGTTTTACTTGAATCTTCCCATTGATGTTTTAGGACTGAAATTGATCAGTCTGTTATTGGCATATGTGCATACTGTGCATACTGTGGATAACGCGGTGGCGTTTGAAGCGAATGGTACCGAGTTCGAGTCTCAGAGTGAACATCAACTCTGAGATGCAGGTACATCCAGCTGACGAGTCCCAAACAGGACGAAACGCGCGTCCTGGATTCCACTGCTAGCCACTATCCATCTTTGCTTATAATACTTGTAAATTAAGGCAATATCGAGGCATACGCACAGTATGTACATATGCCAATAAGAGACTGATCAATTTCAGTCCTAAAAACATTAATGGGAAGATTCAAGTAAAACAATACCAAGTGAATTGTTTATTATGTTATAATAAGCGAAATGATATTTAGATATTATAAACAGATTTGTTTGATTGATAAATGATAATGTTATTTTTGTGAATAGTTGATATATAGTGTACTTAACGTCAAACCATTTCGATAAGTTGACATATTAGGATTTGAGCAATGAGATTTGATGAATATTAAAATGGAATAAACAGACATGATATTGGTTACTACCTAGTGATCAATCTATCATAGTGGTTAGGCTTCGTTAACCAATCACCCTTGTAACCGTTATCATATAATCCTCAACGGTGTTTGAAATCAGAAGGCAAAAAGAAGCAGAGACTACAGTTTATTAGCAGATAGATCAAACCACAAAGTAGAGAGGTGAATGAGTAAGTCAGCGAACCGAGAGTGTATAAGACTAAGTGTATATATATAGGGAAATGAATGGATCATCGAATCAATTAAGCAGTTAATAACAAAGCTAACAGAATGAATCTGATTAACTGAGTCCAGCATTATATGAACTCATTGTTGTACAGTAGAATGATTGTGGTTTTTGCTATTCTAGAACATTAAAGTAACCTACCTACCTGTATTATTTGAGAATCGTTTGCTTCGATAAACTGTACTATCTCTTGTTATTTTCGCGCTTAATTTGTTTAATTCGTCATAAGAAACAACTTCTTAAATTAGAGGAAGATTTAATGTTTGTTACACCTTTTTTACTTCCTATGTTAATATTCAAAAATAACTTGACTGACTTTACGAGGTTCAACCATGTCTGTCGTGAGATAGTAACTCACTGAAGACAATGGGGGATGTGTCGCTCAATTTCGTGGATTAGTTGAATTTAGACATTAACACCGTTGGATGCCGGATCAGTGGTCTAGTGATTAAGTGCTCGCGCGCGAAACCAGTAGGTCCAGCGTTCGAATCTCGCAGGGGGCGAGGTCGTGGATGAGCACTGCTGAGGAGTCCTACTGTAGGACGAAACGGCCGTCCAGTGCTTTCAGGTTTCCTATGGTGGTCTAGCTCCAAATGACTCATGATCTTAACCATCGAAATTATAATTTATAGACGAACCAATAAGATATAAGATAACAGGTCTCTGATTTTAGTGCGAAATTCATCCAAACATTTGTCTAAATAACGTTTTGGTATTAAAGCTAATGTCAGTTTGTGATGAAAACCTTAAATCTAGTTCCTAAACTTAATCATCAACTACAAATCATTATTCTATTTCCTTACACTGGTTTATAACCCTCATTCGGTC